CATATTCAGGTTCGTAACTGGTGCTACACACAGCAGTATCAACCATTAACTATCGAAATTGAGGTGATTTTCGCATTCATCAAGTGCCATTTCAAAAAATATTTACAAGCCATAAAAAATAGAATCCATAATTTCATATACTAAGCCTTGGATACTTGGCCATAGATAACATTAACATTAGCGGAAATCTTACAAATATCGACATAAGAAATAGAAGATATTCACAGCTGGTTTCACAAATACAGGGTGTCCCAAAAAAATGTATCGAACGTTTGATCGTTAATAACTCTCTTCCCAAGAAGTCTTTTGCCTTGCTTCAGGTACCGTTTTGTAGAGCTGGCTTCAACTTAGATTTGCATTATAGAACGAATCACTCATCTCTCTTCATTACTGTAGGATTACGGTAGAAACTTGAAACATATGGTGTTAATGTGAAAAAAGCTGCCGTTTTAAAATTTTTCAAAAAATTGTGAAAACTTGTGTAATAGGGTTTTTATGGACGCTGAGTTCAATACTCAATTATTCACAAGATTACGAAGCTTTCTAAACGGTGCAATCCCACTTTTTAGGAACATTGAAAAAATGGCCGCTACTTCTTACCTGGCATAACTCTTCAATGAAGCATCATAATAAGTTGGGAACTTTACAGTTATAATCAGCAACTCTAATTAGCCTAGTGTAAGAGCTTTCAGGCTGTTTTGTTTCCTTTCTAAAGCAAAATATGGCCTTTCATTGCTTAAAACCCTCTTTGAAGTTTCTACCGTAATCCTACAGTAATGAAGAGAGAGGAGTGATTCGTTCTACAATGCAAATCTAAGTTGAAGCCAGCTCTAAAAAACGGTACCTGAAGCAAGGCAAAAGACTTCTTGGGAAGAGAGATATTAACGATCAAACGTTCGATACATTTTTTTGGGACACCCTGTATGTTTACAAACCTATCACATCACATTATTGAATATGATATAAAATAACTCCTGAATTATTTTCCACCAATGCAAATAAAAAGTTATTGTAGTCAAATTCAGCAATAACGTTCATTACAGCAGCGACATAACACATTCGAATTCAAAAACCAAATTTTACACCTTAGCAGATCTATTATATTTGAAAGAATATAATCTAGAAAATAGTTTTGTCGCTTTAGTTTTGAGCTTCGAAACAAAAAGTTGGAGTTCCCCTTAAGGTGGTAATTTTAACCCATTACTAAGCAATCTTGCATTTTCTTGATACGAATAAAATTCGCCCTCCAAAACATCATGAACAGTAACCAAATAACCTTATAGATATATGGATGATCTATTGCTTATTCATGACACAGAAGAAAATACTGTCGATAAACTAGTTTAAATAATCTACGATTATAAACCTCAGACAGGAGCTACAACCCGAGTATACAGGGTGTCCCAAAAGTATGTATACACTGCTTGATCATACATCTCTCTTCCCTAGAAGTCTTTTGCCTGCCCTCAGGTATCATTTTGTAGAGAAGGCTTCAACTTAGATTTACAATATAGAGCAAATAAACTATCTTCGTTCACTACTAGAAGTACGGTAGGAACTTCAAGAAGGATTGAGCCACTGGAAGCCCTATTTCGCCTTAGAAAGCAAACCAAACAATCTGGAAACTTTCACACTAGGCTAATCAAAGTCGCTAAAACCAAATATGAACTTTGCACTTGATCGCAATGCTTCCTTCATGACTTATGTCCTGCAAACCTTAATAGTAGCTGTTTTACGATGCCCCTAAAATTGAAATCACACCCTTTGAAAAGCTTTACAAACTCGTAGAAAGTTGAGTAATGACATCACGCGAGTCAAATCCCTGGTCTAAACTTTTAAGAATTTTTGGAAACTTTTTTGAAACGCGAGTAATCCATAACGAGGTTGTAGCCAAAAATTCCTACCAATTCCTACTAATCCTACAGTATCAGTATTGATGAGCGATCGGAGGTTTGCTGCATACTGTAGATTTAAGCTGAAGCCAGCCCTAAAAATGTTGCCTTAAGGTAGGTAATAGACTCCTTGGGATGAGAGATATTAACGATCAAACAGTGTATACATACTTTTGGGGCACCCTATATATAGCTGTAATTACCTCGATTTGAGAACCAAAATAGTAAACGACAAATTAATCATAAAATTATATTAGGTCGTTCCGAAAGTTCGCACTGTTTTTCAGACCTATGCTCAAACCACTTAGCAAGCACAATCTGATGTAGAATTTTTTCTTCTTTCTAATGATTATGTTTTTGTTGAGAATGCTTCAATTTCCGCTCCATAATCGGCAGGGATCTCCAACCCATTATTTTCATCCATCTTTAATTGGCTATTTTTCAAAATTTTCACTTTCAACTTTTGGACTAGCTTTAATAACAATTGGATAGACTAAACAAAATGCAACACAAGACCTTTACTTGGCCTAGCTGGCTTCTCAAAATTTTTGAAAATATTAGGTCGTTTCGAAAATTCCTTCCGTTTTTTCAACCTATCATAAAAACATGTGGAATGAAGATAAAGAAACGCTTCAGGCACTATCCGACGCAGCTTTTCCTTCTCTTTTCAACTGTCATGTACCTGTGCCGTTTGCTCTTGTGGTCAGTGAGATAGTGGCCGAAACTTCGAACCCATGGATTTTACCGTGTCAAATTTGGCAATTTTTCACAATCTTCATTTTTGGATTTTGGAAAAGCTTTGATAGCAGTCACATAGAGTAAACAAAGTGCAATTTAATGCGATTTTTCCGCATCTATAGCTAGCCTCAAAAAATTTTAGAATTATTTTTCTAATGCTATCAAATTCACTTTTGGTCATGCCAAGAACCACAGAACATAAAACGGCGCACAACTAAGGTGTCATTCGATGCGGCTTTTCCTCCTCTTTCTACTGAGTATTTTTTTCCAATTTGTGAGGGTTTTTGGCGACAAAATATCCATAATTCTTGATTTTGAACCCGATTAAGGGTGTACACGTGAAATGCGAAATCTTGTACTTCGGAGCGGTAAACACTCAGTTACTTTGTAAAAATAATGGACAATCATTAGCGACTTTTAAATTTGTCGAAATCCGAAGATTTGTTGATGTACGGAGCGTTTGTGTGTTCTGTGACTTCGAAAAAGTGAAGACATCTGGAAAAGTTATCTCAAAAAATACTGAGAAGCCAGTTGGAATCGCCAAAAAATTGCATTAAATTGTACTTTGTTTACTCTCTGACTGTATCAAAGCTTTCAAAATTCAAAAAAGAAGATTGTGAAAAATTGCCAAAGTTGGACATTTTAAAAAACATGAGTTCGAACTTTCGGCCATTATCTCACTGACCACGAGAGCAAGAGGCACATGAATATGACAGTTGCATGTCAGTTGAAAAGAGGAAGAAAAGCTGCGTCGGATAGTGCCTGAAGCGTTTCTCTACCTTCATTTCACGTGTTTTTATGATAGGTTCAAAAAACGGAAAGAACTTTCGGAACGACCTAATATTTTTCTGATGCTATCAAATTCTATATTTGGACATCGCAATCCTCACAGAACAATAAACATCTACTCAGATAATCCGGGGGCACGGTCCGCAAACTCGCGCTTCTCTGAAGGCGGTCAGCAAAATTTTGAGGCGTGGCCAAACTTCAACAAGCGGTACTTCCGTGTTCTGCCAGCTGACAGCAATACAGAATTTTCAGCAAGCGCTCGTCAAATCACTTCTTTCAGCGAGCGCTGGCCAAATTTCCAGCAGGCGCTCGGACTCTTTTCATGCAGTCTCGGGCTTACGCCGAGCAAAGGTAAAACTTTATATAACTGAGGTGCATGGATGGTTTAATTACCCGAGTTTGGGGCACTTTCTCTCAGCGGGATGTACCTATGGACTTTGCGGTCCTTCACAAAGGACCGTGCGGCCCTCAACAGTTTTGGATGTTCTCGCGGAAAGTCCGGGAGAACGCGGCCACTACGCCGCAAACCAATCTATGAAATGTGCGATGAGACACTCTTTGATTGCGAATATCTTTCTTGCCAAAAAGTTTCTTGTTGACCTTTGGAAATCATTGTGTGGAGCTGGTTTCAAATTAGATTTGCATTATAGAGCAATTCGCTTATCGACTCTTCACTAGAGTAGAATTACGATAGAAACTTTAGCAAGAGTTTCGAGCTATCAAGATATCTTCCTTCGCCGAAAGCAACTGATTGAAAAGTCTCATACGGAGTAGTCACAGCCGCTGACTTCAATTTGAAATTCATAGTTTAAGAGTCCCGATGAGGGTTTAAATTTCAAAAATCCATCTGAGGAAAGGGACGAAACGAAGCAAAACATGTAATGATTTCTTCCTTACTTCGACACAGTACTGGACTCAGCACAACCAGAGAAGGCCAAGGAGCGATGGTAACCTTACGATCGCAGTCTTCCAGAGCCATGACATTAGAGAATTTTTCGAAGCTGTTAATTGCTTTTATAAAGTTCAAGTCATACGGTCTTACTGTACTGGCAACGCATTACTGCGATGTCTTCAAATCTGGGACAAAATTCATATTCAAGAAATTCAAAATTCAAGTTCAAGTTCGTGATTTGGCAAGGACTAAAAATGACTGGTAGCACGTCTTTACCTGCAAAGACTCTAATTCACAAAAATAAGCAAGCAGTGTAGGCATCATCACATGGGAGCTTGCGGACACAAGGTCATCAACAAATCTCCTTTTGGCCGTACTCTGTCCTTCTCTTTCTTCATCAATAAATGCTAATCAACTACGAACAAGTGTAAATATTTACTAAGGTGACCTCCTTTTCTGTTAATTTATGTTGTTCAAGTTTGTTCGATATTACGAGTTCACTGTACGATTGGCACTATGATTTTTACTAAAGACAAAAACAACCACATAGCTCAAATTGCGATCTTCAGGATTAAACCGCGTCATGTAAATCAAGTGATGTCCTTGAAAACCAAGCATATCGCATTGCAGTGAGTTCAAAAAATTCTAGTGAGATACAACATAGCATAAATACAAAGGAGATGTCTGTACACATGCCAGGCAGATTTGGGTGGATTTTCCGCTTGATAAGTGTGCCTGAAAATGCAGTAGATTGCGCGTGAACAAAAGCAACGCCAGTGTTGGAGGCACTGCGCGCGCAAGTGGCCGGCATCACAGGCTCAGCTATTTGTTCACGCACAAATTCTACCGCCTTTTTCCGGCACCAAGCACACCAGATTAGGCGAAAAATCTACTCGACTGTATGTTAAGTAAGAAGAGTTGTGCCCAACATTCTTACCGCAAAGCACGGCAGTTCGGTGTGGTTACATTGACCATTACCGCTCTCAATGGAGAGAAACTTGGCCATGTTAACCAGTTAAAAAACAAAGGAACACAGTACTGCAAATGCCATGACTAAAGCTGTTGATTTCGAGTACGAATCGCCATTGCGATCAGGGAACGCGTCTTGTATTACTGATGTCCAAAGTGAGATGTTCTCCCGAATAGCTCGTTTCTGCTCTATATGTACAAATTTGCCGGTGATGTCCTGCAACTGTCAAAATCAAATTGGTCTCGATCCAAGATTAAATATATGGTTTAGCAGTGGCATACCGAGGGGGGAATGGGTCGCGAAATTTTTTAAAGTTACTTAAATGTTTTATAAAAATGTGCAAGTGACTTGTTTTTACTTGTGAATAATTAAAATAATTTTTAAAATTTTTTAAAAATTCAAATTAGCCTCGAGGGTCAAGGGCCACAAAAATTTTGGAAAGCATCCCAAAAAAATTTCCGGAGTGCGTGGCTAACTCCACGCACCTTCATCCAAAAAAATTTTTTTGCCCCTCTCCCCCCCCCGAGCGAAAACCCTGGGTACGCCACTGGTGTTTAGTGTAGTGGATGCGTGTAATTGTGCTACTTTAGCATTGAAAATCCACTAGCAGTAATCGTCTGCTTTCCGTAGACAATCTATTGTAAATTGACGCGGAAATTCTTGCTTATCGAACAAGATGCAGAAGCTTTTTTCAGAATTAACACGTAGACGATCGTGTGCATACGCGCGTATGCACGCCCTTACTCCTTTTTGCACCTTCGTAAATCAGTTTTTCATGTGTGAGCAAAAAGTTCTAAAATAACTTCTGTATAGTAATAATGCTGGTGGGCTATTTGTCATATAAAACGCAGGGCATCGCGGTAACTGCACAAGAGTTTATAGCGCAAATGGATAATCGGTCCATTTTGAAGTGGTCCAAAATGGCTCGTCGTCAACGTATCAAACTTAAATGTATCATTTTTTTAAATTGAAAATTGCGGAAGAAATTCTGCAAAAATTTCGTAGAAACCAGTACCCTACAAATCATTGTGGCCGGTGTCAAACCTCAAATTGATTGCAAAAAACAACAAATTTGTAATAGTGTGATTTCATAGAAATATCCTTACTACCGCATTTTCTTCATAAAATCACAGCTAGAGACCAAGAATATTACTTACTGCTTAACCAAAACGCTATGACGTTTTTCTTTGAGCAGTAATTTGCGTTCGTAAAAGATTACTCAAATGTCACAAAATTTCAAAAGGGATTCACCTCCTCCTTGGCTGTGACGTTGCAGACACTTTCGCGTGGAACTCCATTGATATATCTTCCAAATATATTAGTCCCAGCTGTTAATGTGCATTCTTGATCTTGTAGAGGCGTGGTAGCATTCACCTTCATTCCCAAGTCTGCCGCTATGCGGTTAAAGCTTTCCATGATCTGAAGATCTTTCCTTGTTAACAGGTACGAGTAAAGCAACTGATACCTTTGTTGCGGGTATGCTCCTCTCATATATGGAACTGTTCTTAATACCAGTGGAGATGAAGGCATCAGAGTGCACGCAGCTGGAATAATACATTTTATGTGACCAAACCGTTTGCATATTCTCACCTAGTTTCTGCCATGCCATGCCACTGGACGAAAAAGTGATAGTCTTCCTTCCAGGATGACTGCACATCTTCTTCAGCCAAGTCTTTCAACACAGTGTTAACAAACTGCAGACAAGGACCCCACACATAATATTAGAACAGAGGATAGTGCCATTAGTCATTACCTAACTCACATGGAACATTGTTCTACAGTTATGGGAGGCATCAGCTATTTGAAACTGCTCCTGGCATTCTGAGCGTTTGTCTCTGGAGGTGAAAGGGTTAGGTATATATCCTGCCAAGTTATGACCACCTACCCTTTGACTGCGAATCTGTCTGCGCCAGCGACCACTAGTGAGCGTGAGCGGGTGCGCTCGAAAAGCGCAGCTGCTTGAGAGCATACCGGTCCATCAGAGGCGAAGTGCGAAGCGGAGTGATGGATCATCCTGCAGGACGAATATGGAAGGTGCAAAATAAAAATGCAAAATAAATATTTACTCTAACTGGTGTAAAGTGGACCATCTAACCAGGCACAGTTAGCCGCCAGTGTGCAAAAGTGGGGATCATTATGTTGTTGAATGAATAGCGGTAAACTCCCAACAAAATGCGCGGGCTTATGCAATACCTTCATGGTACACGAAAACTACCTGCGTGGATGTATTTGAGCGCCGAAAGAATACGATGGGATTGACAAATGTTCAAGTGCAGGGTGTCCCAAAAAGATGTGCACACTGTTTGATCGTTAATCTCTTGCTTGAATGTCTTTTACCGAGTTTGAGGTACCATTCTGTAGAGCGAGGTTCAACTTAGATTTACTTTACTGTGTGGAACGAATCACCAATCGCTTTCTTCATCACTGTAGGATTACGGTGTGAACTATTAGCATACAGCGTCGCTGTGGAATAGGCCTTTCAAAAAAAATAATTTCAAAAAGAATCTGAAATTGTGCAGCATGTTTTTTCAGGCGTGCTGATTTCACCACATGAGTTTTCATAACTTTTTCGAGCTTTCTTGACGGCGTAATCACATTTCTGACGAACATTGGAAAAGCAATTGATACCTTTAATTTGAAATAACTTATGAAAGAAGCGCTATATGAAGTGCAGATTTCCCTCTAAACAATAATTACGGATTCTATGCCCCAAACTGTGTTATTTCTCAACGCTTTTCGCCTACATGGAATTGGTGACGCTGATATGCAGAGTATTGGACTTTCAAAGTCAACGCTCAATCGTGAAAGCTGCGCTTCCCTTCTTGTTTTTAGTACAACTTGGCCCCTGCAAATTCTACGATTTCGAGCTTCACTTGGAAGGAAAGGGTGGGTTGTTTTCTTTCATCAGCCCAAAAATGCTACCATAACGTCGTTGGTGCAGAAGCAAATGCAGATTACTGTTTATTCTGCTCTTGCGAAGTTGAAAACTTACTGCACTCACCGTCTTGCCCAATTCTTAGAAGCAATTACAACGTATCCCCACATTCGTCTAAATCGGTCACTGTCTTGAGGAATTTGCTCATGAATGACACAATAATGACCCTAAAGTTAACGATAAGCAACAAAGATTGAAGGATCATTTTTTGACAATGGAGATAAAGAAACCGGGTGTGGCCAGAAGGCAGTCCAAAAACTGGTGTCAGTTTCAATCAAGAGGAAAGGAGTCGATAACTATCCAATTCAACAGAAAAGGTATAGGGTGCGCCAAAATTATGGAGAGTGTATTCTGATTGCCAAACTCGCGTATGGAAATTAAATTCTATTTTGTTTGATTTTCATTAAACAATTCTTTCGAATATTTTGATGAAGATTTTTCCTGAAGAAACAAATGGAATTTATTTCCTATTCTAATTATAATCACTGATTTCGGTTAACAAGTTGGAAGAATTGATTTGAGCTATTATCTATTATTTTAAGCACTATCTGTTCGTTTCTTTCTTATTTGTGGCTTCAAAAATACTAAATGCATAGGCTACATGCTGGAAAAATGTACAGATCAGAACTACAAAAAAATGAAAGGAAGACCAGCTGCAGAGGTCCCTAAAAAGCCTCAATCGAATGAAACTAATTTGTCGGTAACATGCTATTTTGCGTTCTTCAAATTACTCATCAACAATATTAGTTTTTGCAAAAATATATATGGTTATCACCAGTCCGAAAATATCTTTAGGGTATGGTTGCAACATTCTTGACATGAACTTGGAGCCAAACCTATAGATGGTCCTTTGGCACTGTTGCAAAGTTGACGTCAACAAATTTCGCACGCTCAGTAATATCACGCAGTGAACAGAAAATCGAAGGGCAAACACCAGTGCTTATGCTGGTTTGCCTTTGGAAGTTATGACAATATATCAGTACTTTTTATTGGATATCAACTACATCATGAACATAACGTAGATAACTCTCCATACAGCTTGTATAGTGAATAAAGTTCTTGCTTATCTTATAAAAATGAATTTCCCCCTTTGAAGGGATTCCAAATATGATACTAACCCATAACGAATCTTTTTGACCACTCTCTCGTTGAGCCATACAGCGGCGAGTATGTCAGTAATCTACAGCAAATACTGCTTATAAGGGAAGCTACCTAATTTAGCTCGGCTTTTCGGCAAAAGTCATATTTATATTCTGCTTCAGTTTCAAACTTTATTTCAAAATATGCTATTCTTAGCTGCTGCTCCCCCTTCCGAGAAGCGAGTTATGCACCTTTCACTGCGCAGAATTGGCATACTACTGAACATAGGAAAACTGCCTGCAGAAAAAAATTTCCAAAAAGGTGCTGGGTTATCGAAATAACATCAGTTCGAATCTTTGTTCACTGACAGGGAACTCAGCGGAAGAGTATAAGCACTTAGATGATGCCAGTACATAAGTCGATGAGAATGTCAATTTCGCGCAGTGGAAACCCCATAACTCACTTCGGAATGATGAAGCAGATAAGAATTGCATATTTGGAATCAGCTTCGAAGCTGATTTAGAATATATATACACGGCTATTGCCAGAAGGCCGTAAGTTAGGTAGCTCCCGTGTTAGAAATTTCGGAAATACTGTAACCAAGTAATAAGTTTATTCAAATTAAAGTGCCTTTTCACTGAGGAAGCGGAAGGAACAAGCACAATCATCCAAAGACTGCAACCACGCTCACCTGAATTACAGTCACATTTAAGTAGTCCTTTAAAGCAGTGTACTGATCCAGCAATGAATTATCTACATCCTTAAAAGTCTCCATTCGATAAACCTTGGCAAGCAGCTGGAATAGTATCGTGAATGTGATTGTAACGAGTCTGCTTTATATACCTGTCGCATTTCATCTAATTCCTCTTGTTTTGGGAGGCTATCCAGCCAAGTTTCGTAATCAGTCGAGTTCTTCTTAGCGAAGAATGATTCAAAGTAAGTATTTAGCTCAGAAATTGGGAATTCGTCCTCAAGTGTGAGAGCACCATAAAACCCAAGCTCTAAGAATAACCCGAACAGAACCCGCAGGAACGAGTTCAGCTTCATCGCTCCTGTAAACACCACTTCGGAAAAGCATTTAGAAAAAAAAGAGTAGAGGGACCTCCGAAGAAAAATTTATAGGCGACCGATTGTAAAGTATCCATTAGACTATGTTAGATGTTGTGTCTGTAGGGCCATTTCGCTATTTATGAGCGGGCACGTCACTTTGTCTCACGCATTTGATGCAATAAAGAACGAATGATAAGAATGATAAGTTGATTTTTGGCGACCAGAACAAACATAAGTTGTTCTAAGTGCAAGAACAAAAAAGTCTTGAAGAGCTCTGGAAATGTTTTTTAGCAATGTTTCAGGCGCAGCGGTGGTCATGATTGTACTCGAATGTTATTTTATGTGTTGATAACACTCAGGTGTGGGAAACGTGTGGGAAACTCGAGTTAGAAATACCGCAAGCTTCTTTCATAAAAATCAGCATTTTCAAAAGCGTTGCTACATTGTGGATTTTATATTTTCTGCTTTACCCGTATAAAATAGCTAACCAGATAAAGGAATGTCATCCGGGGCACGCTTTTAAAAAAGAAAAGCAAAAAGCTTTGATATGACAATCAACAATGGACACTGAAAATAACTGGTGTGTTTATATGTACTGTTCTTGCCTTCAACATCTGAAACAGGCAAGGCAGAAGGAAGCAAGAGACTGTCCACATACGATGGCATCAATTTAGATAATGCGATAAAGTCTCAACAACTAATATAATCGCCTTAATTTTGTTCTTTTTTGAAAAGAATATTCCTCTAGATAATTCCAACATCACTTCTGATAAGCCAAAAGCAGAAAATGTCCTCTGAAAGTGTCCATCAAATATGACATAAAGATATGAACATTAGACTACAAAAACATATAGAATGTTTGATTTAAAAGGTGAAATTGCCTACCATTGCACATGCTCAAATCAAAATGGAATGAAGGCCAAAAAAAGACGCATTGTATTGACTTCTTTATTGGTTCAACAGTCTTCATATTCAGCTTAACAAAGTTTATTTATTTGAAAAAGTGATGCTAAATGTCTGTCCCCAAGAAATGATTTCTCAAGACAGTAGTGCAGCTGTTCTCATATAACCACAAATTCTGGATTCTAGGACCGCCGCGCAATCATAAAATTTGTTTGAGTCTGCCACTTATGGGAAAATTTACGTTACCCGATGGTTGCGTTGTTCGGCTAGTTGTTTATATATGAAAAAAAAGGATAGAGGAACACACAAAAAGAGGAAGTTGCTACCTAGATAAGAACTAGAATGCCTCCTTGAGCCGCCTAAGCGAGGGGGAAATGAAGAGGAGAGAAGGAAAGCGATTTTTAAGCTCCATTTCTTCACGATGTTCCTCCCGATTATGTAAGCTGTTCAGTCACATGAAGTTTCGACTACTCCTTCCAAGCTCAGCTTGAGCAAAAATACGCTTCCCATGTGAACGACACTACCCTTTTTAGGATATTTGAAAAACGTCTTTGACCCTACACTTATGATCGTCAATGTCCGTTGATCTTACGTGATTACGGATTTTCCGGAGAAAGTGGGTGTGAACTTTAACCAGGTATAGCCGAACTCATGGCTTTCGCCGTTCTTACCTTCTAAGTTTGATCAACCTGCTAACCTTGTGATTGAAATAGTGATAAGCGCGAGATCACACGATTAAAAAAGATAAACTACTTCGTAGAGCTGCTTATTGGAATTTATTGTATGTAGTGCTCGCCTTTGTCTAGATCGGAGATGTGGACAGTAAAAAGAACACCCTTCCAAGTTTCAAGCTGCTTCTTGCTCACTTCAATGATAACATGTGAATCGCTGAAGAATTTGTGATGCCACTAAGATTCCCAGGGCACCTTCTAGGGCCACAATGTAGTCCTACCCAGCCCTTATCGAAAATGCACATTTGCGCAGAAGTATGGAGCAAATAATGCGCTACTACTAACCTTTATGTACCTTTCTCGATCAGATTTCAACTACCCAAAGGATCAAACTGTCACCTTTTTATACGTGATGATCATCTACAATCTCTCTATGTCAATTTATTTATAGGTAGTGTGAGGGATGAAGAGTTAATCTTGTACGAACTGCGATCAATGGAAAGGACAGACATCATGTTTTGTACAGATTTGGAATAATTGATGATCGAATGACATCACCGTTAAACTGGTTTCCACTCAAAAACAGACATCAGTTCTTGGAAAACTTAAGTCTAGCTGTTCAATGAATAGTCGCGGTAATAAACGACGGAAACAGTTCTACACACATGCTCAATCATTAAAAGAGATTCGGAGAACGATCTAGTAAATGAATATCCTTCCCCCCCCCCCCCTCCCCGCTCCAACATTGCTAATCGATATGGGTGGCGATAACAGAGCGAAGCAAGTGCAAGTAACCAAACTGTTCGTCCATAAAATCATCGATAATTTCATTTATACATCGCTTTGTCCCCCCTTCCCCCTCTTTTGCAGAGTTTTATGCCTGTTTTCTCGTAGCATGTTGATTTCGCCTTTACGACGAGTTGTGTGAAAAAGGTCGGGTAAGTAGTTGCTAAGAGTAAGTCTACAATTTTGGGAAAACACTCACCAGTGGAAATGTTTGCAGAAGTGCAAAAACTGAGAAAATATCTTGTTTTTGTGTTTTCGGCACTGTAGGACTGGTATAGTACGATTGACAATGTTCATTGGTCTAGGATGCTTTGCATATCCCTTTGTACTTGGTGTTGACAGCTACAATCTGTTTTCTACTTTTTTCCACGTTCACATAGAAAAACATTCTACGACCATGAGCAGCGAAGAAGTATGCAAAAAGATCAAAAGAAATTTGTATAGGCTAACCGCTGATTTTTTGGAGGCGTTGTTGCTTCAATCCTCTGTGTTTTTTTCAAAAATCATACCACGGTAAAATAAATTTCTGTGCACTTTGCTTGATAGGCTATTTAGGTATGCACGTTAGGATCTCTGTGCTAATGCTTTTGATTCATGAAAAGAATTTTTTTCAATTTAGAAATCGTTCCACTAAATGCGGTCAACCTTATTGTGGCGATATGCGTATTCCGGACGAAGAACGGCTAATGATGCCTTAAAAAGCTTTGTAAATGAGAGACCCCGAAAATTCTCTGGATAATTCATTTTTGAAGTCTGGATTTTTTGATTCACAGCCATGCGGCCTTTTAAAAGCTACAGAAAAATAGGGCTTACTTTATGTAAACACGAGAGCTCTTGAAAAGCTCCAAAGATGTAAATGTCAAATCATTGGTCAAATCCTGATTTTAAATGTTGGCCAGATCCTGATTTTTCATAAGATTTTTGTTATAATCTCCGTCATTATATGAGTTACTTGAAGATTCTAAGGCAACTCGAGAGACTGCGATATGAATATACTGCATGACAAAGCTTGCTCAACAAGTAAGCGTTTATTATAAGATTGCACATATACAACTGTAAACAATTGCACTGTAACAATATGGAGAACAAGCGACTAGTCGTTTCATCCTAAGTCTGCATTTCTTTTCGTATCAAAGAAATCTCGACGTTTAGGACAAGCTTCATATCCGGAGGCTGAATGCTTTTCAGAGAGCTCTTGTAGAACTCTAGTAGGTGGAATACTTTTTCAGCCTCAGCCTTCTTACTTGATGTTCCGGCTCCTCAGTGATAGTTTCTAGCCTGGGTACGGATAGCATTGAACCAGTGTTGTGTTTTTTGCCAGTTTCTAAAGTGAAAACGACGAACTCAGCATCAATATGTGTACTATCAATAAGAAAAGTATAAGGTGGAAAATAAAAAGTTATGAAATAAAAATTATCGAAAAACTTACTGTGATACTTGGCTGCCTTTCTGGAAACTCTCGGCTCGCTAGGAACGTTGAAAGATACGCGTTTTGTCTTCTGTGTATTCTTCATAATTCACGCGGGTGATTTATGGAAGTTTATGGAAGTAGTGCTCACGAATTTCCAGTCACCGCTTTATATAGGGGCTCAGTGACAACAGGACCGGGAATGATCTCACGAACTTTCGCCAAACCCCACCTCTACGGCGGACTATATTGACGTTCATACGAGTCATATGGTGAGGACATTCGAAAATCACAGTTCACTAAACCAAACCGTCTAGTAGTTGTTTTGACAGTAAACCTCCGAAAAATGCAATCACTTTGCATGGGAAATGCAAACAACTCAGAACTCTTCATTGTTAGACCTCGCAGATTTATATCCATCAAAACTTCCGAGTATTTGTTAGTTCACCAGATCGTCATGGGTCACATAAAAGAAATTACAAGGAAAGGCGTTTGACTTTGAATGGCCTTCCCTTATGAAATATGTATCAAGAGATCTTTGAATGCTGATTATACGGCCTTCCATATCTGCTGAACGGTTATAACCAAAGGTTTTTTGCTTTTGGTCGTAAATTTAAGTGCTTTCTGAATTCGAGCTGCTCCAAAGGTACATATACGTTTGAAAAATAGGGAAGGGTTCAAAGGCTACCCTCGGTCCTGCAACAAGCAATCAAACTCAGTGAGTGCCATTTTAGCCAAATATATGTCTGTAACATAGACTTATGTCCGTTTAGCAGATAGGGAAAGCAGATTTGAAATCAGCATTCAAATTCGATTATGATGGGAATAAAAACTTTGTTTAGAAAGGCTACTTCGAGTCAATTGTATACCTTACTTGACATGGCGTAAGTGTTGAATATGTGGTAAAATTCCCAATTCATAACTACAATTTAAGTCGTCGTCATGATTTAGTTACATTGCCAAAACACAGGAAGTTTGTCGTTTTAGTACGTTTCTTTTGCAACTTATGTATTAGAAATCGGGTTCATTTACTACAGAAGGAGACGTTATTACCGCCTATAGAGGAAGCCGTTGAATTTTCCATAAGATGAAATTTGTTTTCGACGGATTTTCTTGAAGGTTGCTCATGTGAATAGCTGATACCATACGGATGTGAAGTACATACGCTAGTGAAGCTTCAAAAAAGTGATCTTTTATAGAATTTCCGTCCTAGAAAGCTGATATATCTACTTTCTACTGTAAAAAAAACCATAGTTACTGCTGGAAGAGTTTTTTGTTAGTTCAGTGAGACTTCAAACCTTACAAGTTTGAACAGTTTAGAGTTTGAGAGACATCAAAGAGCCTTCTCCATTCAAACCGCTGGGTGCAACAGTCACACCATCCTGCTGTGTCCATTATAAGTAGAAGTTCAGCTTATTCATCAGTCACATACGTCATAGAAAGGACAAAGCCACTTTGGCGAGGACAGTCTGCGCACTGCGATTTATCGTTGATTCACTTGCTACTGGAAAGAAGAGCGACCAGCCAGCTGCAGATGCCCTAGAAGGGAATGACCGTTTTGTAAAATGGAGTCGCTGGTTGGGGAGTAGGTTCCCAATTTTGCATTCAAACAAGTTTGTCAACCATAGAAAGTGAGAGAAGAGGAGTATTTGGAAACTGTACATCAGCAAAGACGGCAGACTAAAATGTCAATCAAAAATGCAGTGAGTGCCTAGGGAAAAAAGATTTGTAACTCTAAGACAACTTGCATAGCCATCTTTTATTCACACGTGTAACAAAACCGTTTTTTTTTGCCATACGTCAGCTTTCGTACGAACTAACAAAACAGTGATATATTTAACTTTGTAGCGGAACCCCTACTGATAAGTCAGTTTGAATGGAAAAGAATGGATACATTCAACGGATTAAAAAATTTTGCTTTGATCACTCTGTTCGAGAGTGGAAAGCCCATGTCAGTGTCTATTCTTGCCGAAGTTATCTTTTGCAAATTTGCAGGAGGGATGTATATAGGTTAACGTCGCTAAAAGATTGTTATTTATCATTCTCTTTAGCAATGAAATTTCCAAGGCGGAAGAGATATGCACACACGAAATCTGAGCTTTGTCATCCAGCGCAGATGTACGAACATTATGAAGTGACGTAAAATCAGTATCACTCCTCTTTTGCTCCCAAAAAGATCACACGGCTGCTATTTTCCGTACTCGTCGTCTAAAAAGCCTGATCATTCTAATCTTGGACCGCCTCCAAAAAATTGTTGCACTGACCTCAACATCGCTTTCTATTCGTTTTCTATACATGATGTTGGCCGCATGCATCATCGTTGCCATATTGGGCCCATCATTGAAGCGTTTGGGGCTCTGGATCAACTAACTCAGCAATGGGATGCACTGACCTTGGACTTACGTCATGTTGCACAGCATGATGCGAATGTGAATGGCTTATGCTGATTTGCGGAGTTCCCAGTTGGAAAAAACCCATGTTCAAATATCTGAATGACACTGCAACAATTTGAGTCAACATAGATGTTCAGTTTCACCTTACCGTTGCAGTAGTTCCAGATAGCATCCGCTGACAGTGAAAGCAAAGAGATAATCAGCTGGGAAAATGGTTTGGGTAAATATCATACAAATCAGAGTTGTTTGAGAAAAACTAAAAGATGGTTGGTTAGCAAGTGTAAATCACAGAGGAGAAATTACTTGTATGTTTCGTCTGTCAGCTGGTACTTGATAAGAGAAGTGTCAAAGAAGGTGATGCCGAAGTGGATCCAAGCCATGAGAAGACCTCCTTCAATGGTGTTAAGTTTGCGAGCGCTAGTAAGAGAAGAAAAACGAGAAGGTTGAACGGAGGAGACAGAATTTCCCTCATTCATGGACAACTTTGTAGCCCAATTAAAGGGGTTTGTTTACGGCTCACAATACAATGGAGATTACTGATGGGAAAAGAACTCACTCTATTTCCCCTTCCCCCTCCCCCTGTATCAGAGGTTACACTTTTCGCTGTGCTCGCTGTTGTAATCGCTCTTGCAGCATTTTTGTCATGAATACCATATTTATCGGAGCGGTCGGTTACACAACCCTACATTTGAAGTTTAGAGTTAGGCCAGCAACACTTATTCCTCGCGACACCAAACATTTCCTACATTCCCTAACTTATGGCCACTTAACCCGCTTAATGAGAACAAGCTTTAGTGAGTGCTATAACAGCAATAGAAGAGGCCAAAGAAGCATTGGACGCGGCTTGTCTTCGTCTTTCTAGCAGTTAAGTTTGTATAGACAGCGATCAGCGCAAAGATAATTGCAGAAAATGCCGTGTGTCAATTCATCATCATTAACACGTTTCGGACCGGTGCTGCACATGGTGCAGCACGCTCCTTTCAAAGATCTTTTCAATTTTTGCAGGAAGTTTTCTTTTTGTCCAAGGTTATCAAATCAAAGGCCTAAGCTCCTCCTTTTCAACTGACTCTACAGAGCTGTGCCGACGGTTTTTGTTTAGAAGATATGAAAGCAAATCGAACAACACTCGTAACGAAGTGCGGCAACGCGAACGACGCGTGCGACGTCGCAACTTTTCTTTGCTCCTATTTCAAAGAGAAAAACCGCGGTTTCAGTAATGATGCGTCCTGTGTACAACATAGATACTTTTGGATAGTATTAGAAACTGGGTTGTTGTTCCTATCTTTCAGGAAAGCACAGAAGTCCTTCTGAAGCGGCAAAATTCAAATACTTCGAATTCACTCAGAACTTTGGGGATGTATCTTATCTGACATGCTGTTTACAAATGTAGCACACAGTCTACGAATTAAGGTCTCTTTGTTGGCTAACCGCTGAAAGTGCACTCTTTTTCGCCGCGCGCGATTTCGCGGTCCGAAACGTGTTAAACTTACTCTAACTTCTCCAGTTTCTATAGAGTTTTACCATCAGAAGATCACTAGATAGGATAATGCTTACTGCTTGCGGGGCAATGTCCATTTCAATAAGCTTTTCACACCACATTTCTATAATTACTTTTTTTGCGAAGAGACTTGATTTTCATTGATGTTCAAAAACGATTTCTTTTCACAATTGAAAAGTTTACGTTTCACTTATTTTTAGAAAAGTAGGCTTTTGTTTCCAGCAGCTCACGTTTAATTTGTCAAAGCTCATCTTACGGGCAATATGAGATCAATTACGTTAATCGTGAAAAATTCAAGAACGGATGATTCCGAAAATTGCCTTAGGAGCACTCTGGGATAGTCCCGTACAGCCCACAGCTTCTTGTTCGCGAATGCCAAAACTTCTCTTTCAATTTCGAGAAAGCTATCAAATGGATGTCAAAAAACGGAAGCGACTTGATAAGATGATTAATAGGAAGCGGAACGAGTAACATTACCTTTTGGTGAACCCAAAACCTACCTAGGGCTGCCATGGGTAAAAATTTCTTAGTGGCTTGACAGTCCTTATCTGACATCGCCAGAATCCTCCTCACAGAGAAATACTGCAACCATTGTGAAGCCTGGAAGTTGCGAATAGCATGCAGTGTGCTCAGAGAAATATTTTGAGTGCAGAGATTTCTTGAATGGTTATTTGTATTTACCGATATACTACTGATGATACTCGCACGAAGAATTTCATTATTATAGATAGCGCTATGATTCAATATTTATGTACCTGTACTGCTACGTAGGAAACTGTAGCCAGGACTGCATCCGTAACAGTGACAAAGCCATCTCTTCGTTGAAATTCTATCTCGACTGATTGCAAGATCTGCGTAGAAGATTTTGATTCAAAAGAATTCTCAGTAAGTATATCAAGCTTACAAGTTTCACGAAAAGTACTAGGCAACACCCAAAGAGAATGGCGATGTCTCCACGAGCATGAGCCTTGTGGTGAGCATCAAGTCTTTCGTCAGTCAAATACCATGTAAACACAAACAGCTAAACAAACTGATGTTTTGCGCTCCAAAATAGATTCAGACAGACTGACACCCATAAAGAACGAAAGTTGTAAGATGTTAGCAACAAGAGAGACGATGTCATTGGTAATCCAGTGAATCTCCATCAAATGATCGAAATCTGAAAAGACTTTCACGGAAATTCTTATGCAGATGTATTCTGGATTTACCTATAGTCCAATAGAAGTATACCATCCATCGTATAGCACATGCTAATGACGCCAGAGGAGTCATAATGTAGAAGAATAGTTTCATGTAGGGACTAAAAGGAACACTTCAAGCAATGATTTGTTGCTATTTGCACAACAACATATGTATGTAGAGACAATACTATAATTGATTGCTATTGAATTTTGGTGATCTTATACCGGAACTCCCCTATTTTTCGGGCACCGAGGTTTTGTGAAAAATGGCGCTTCCTTATTGAGAAAATATGTCTGCTATATCTCAATTTTTTCGAAAAACAGCCTACCGTTGATGATACTTGGCCATTTAGCGACTGTTTTAGAAGCCGAAGGGCTTCTAATTTTTACCCAGCTACAAGGAATTTGGACTGCACTACATACACATACCTGACTTTCAGCGGTGGCATGTTTAATCCAGGACTTGCTGTGTACACCCTTGATATGTCTTTGATGAACTCTCTCATCAGCGCCCGCACACCTTGCCGAAGCTAAAAGTTATTTTTTGTAGGTCTTAGACCCTTTCATTCGAGCGTACACTTGCAAGCGCAAAATAAGCTTTGTAATTAACGCTTTTTTCGATAGGGAATCTGCCCAAACTTGTTAGCGCTGTATTTCCCTTGAAAATCGTTACTGAATTTTACGATACTAGGTTGCCGTTCTTCTCGTTAGTCCACCAAAAAGACAATTTTTCTTAGATCACCGTGACTGTGTCGGTCCTCAAATGGCAAGTAGCGCAATGTTCGTTTAGAGCAAAGCAAAATGACTCCGCCTAATATTCTACAAAGTCTGAATTCATTCAAGTGCTTGTGAAAGCTGCAAAATGACTCTACAAGGGCTCCGCATAATACTCTATAAAGTGTGAAGTCATTCAAGTGCTATGAAAGCTGTTCAGAATAAATTCTCTTCCAAAAACTCCTGCACCTACCACTTGCTCATACCAGTGGCGTACCGAGGGGGAGGGCGCACTCTACCTCCCCCCGAGAACGGTTCGCGAAATTTTTGAAAGTTATTTACATGGGCTATAAAATTGTGCATTCGGGGTTCTGAGCCCGCGAAAACTTTAGGGAGCATAAACCCCCGCCAGAGTGCCGAGGCCATGCCAGAGCTACGTCAGCGCCAAGCCAGCGTTTCGATCGATACACGTGTATTTCGTTGGGGCGGGGCTAGCTGACATAGTTCTCAGCAGGTAGATGTCCCCAACGAAATACACGTGCATCTATCGAAACGCTGGCTCGGCGCTGGCGTAGCGCTGGCATGGCTTCGGCACTCTGGCGGGGGCCATACCAAAAAAATTTCGGAGTGCGTGGTGTCGCGCCCCCCCCCCCTCTCCGAGCCATCCTGAGTACGCCACTGCTCATACATACAAAACACATACAAACTTTTCGTTATTGTTGTTGTTTGAAGTTTTGTACAAGTAATATAGTGGTCAAATTTGGATGCTATAATTCCATTTGATTTCAGGTTAGTTTGGTAGTATCAGAACTGAGAACATTTTTGAATAATGGTTTTAACTGAGTTCTTTTTTTATTCCTGATGACTATCGCCTAGACTTTTTGACTAGTCGATGGCGCACTTTTGGTGCAATAAATAAATAAATGAATTTTTGTGCACACTTGCTTTCCTTTTTGACTAGAATCCAAGAGCAGTAAAAATTTTGCCCCAAAATCCGAGCCATGCCATTTGTGTTTGGGATTTTAAATAATACCACTTAGGTCAAATCACTGTTACTGGTCAATAGTTCTTTTGTAGGTAAAAGCACAATTTTTGTGGTAAATAAACTTGCCGTGGATTTTGGAATTTTCTATTTTTCCTCATCTTTATAGTAGTAAATCCCACCTTTCGTCGACGCTCGATGTCTTCAGCCTTCTCCTCTGCTCCTCCGCAAGCTAGCCAATGTGTGACTAGGAGCACAGGAAAAAATTCAGATGCACACGATATGATTGAACTTGAGAGAATCCCTTTGTTGATATAATACCTATGATTCAGTGAAATGCTCGCAAGCGAATCTTCTTTAGTTACCATACCACATCTTCTGAGTTCCATGTAAATCTTCGCTGGGTGTGCATTCGTAGTTCCGTCTCATAACCGGACACCAGTAGCTCTCCAGTTCTTTTCTTTGGCACAATTCCTGATAACATTTACGGGCTTTTTAGTGTCGCCAAAACTGCGTCAGCAAATAAGTGCTCCAGACACATTGCAAGATTGATTGAAGTTAGTGTTTGAGCGTCAAAACAATAGTAATGGCTTATATCCAGAAATTTTTTCTATGAAATAACTATCAACTGAAATTTCTGTACTAAAGGCTCACCTGATGACTAAGATATCCTTTGTACACTACCACTTTGATCCAAACAACTGAGAAGGTGATATTAATGAATAGTCTTCCTATCTGAATTCACTCACGTGTAACTCCTGTTTATAACTCGTTTGTGGGAACTACACAATTATGCAAGAAGTAGGCAACATTTTCCGAACATTGCGTACATAAACTACTTCGAATTTCATGCACATCCACAGGGGACATTTTAGGCCTCGGGCAGAGTTCACGCGATCTCATCGTCGCGATTGATCGCGACCAGACAACTGTAACAATACCATTGCATTCCGATCATCTTGCATTTCGGTTGTGATAGAATTCCAACACGACTAATCGTGACCAACTATCACAACCGAAATGCAAGAAGATCGGCATGTAATAAACTCGTAACACTTGTCTGCTAGCGATGAATCGCGACGATCAAATCGTGTGAACTCTGCCCGAGGCATTACTAACTTCAGTATGTAAAACGAAACGAATGTTCCTGTTATGAGATAATTGAACGGCTCAAATATTAGTCGACTGTTCTAATAGTGATCTTACAAAAAACACTTTACAAGACATGTAACGCTTGACGTTTCAATGTCCTAACAGTGGAAGCCTTAGTAACGCGTAAAAAAAACAGGATAATTCATATTTTTCGAAAAATCAGTACGCATATGGATGGACCTACTTATTTATCTGTAGAAGTATAAAGCTCTCCTACTCTGCTCAACACTTAGGCCTAAGGCATACTTCACGCGATCTGTCCAAATCGCCACTTTCAAGCGACTTGGCGATTTGCCAGATCTCTACAAATTTATCGTGCGCGCTTTTCGAACGCATAGGCGGTTAGCTTGTGTAAGTTGTTGCAAGTGGATTAAGTTCTAACTAAAGGAAACACATTAACGACGAATTACAAAGAGTCGATGTTGTGCCAAATCGCGCAGCGACCGGAATCGCGCGAAGTATGCCTTAGGCCTTAGAGTTAATTGTTTGCGCGCGATATGGAAAATAGCTAAAGAAAGAGGGCTAAGGACCTTGTCGAAATTTGAATTTATAGCTCCATAATAACGCCTCTGAAGAATGTAAATAAGGGATAAAGCAGAGAAGGAAGCCATTAGCACATCATAGCAGGACTCCAACCATAGCTCAGAGGAGTAGATTGCATCCACCAATTTGTCACATGTCTGGAAAAAGTAAAACTATCTCGCGAATCATAATTCTTTGCTAACTGACTTGGAAAGCATAGTTGAAAATTATGAAGTAGAGGTATCCTAGTACAATACCAATTGTCAAAGCAACTGCCCCTAGAACACTTGTATATCGAAAAATGCTTTCAAATATATGCACTCTATATACCTATAAGAGCAGGGGTTGGAATTTCGTGCGGTTCATCGAGTTTAGGTAAACTTCTTGTGCGAAAGAGAAATTCTACCTCGACAACACCGCAGCAAAACATAAGTAATGCGATAATCTGAGAAATCATAGAATTTAGCGGCATATGTTCCTCAATCATTGAAAGAACTCACCGAGTGATAGAGTCTCAAATAGAATATGGTGTCTTCCCTGCTGAGCAAAACATAGAGATTGAGAAAGAGGGACAGTTGAAATATTACGTAGAGAAACACTGTGCACATATGATGCACTTTCAAAGCCCACTTCACATCATTTCTGACTTTTTTCATGCTGTCTTTACCATTTATCTGGAATGGTGTAACAAGAAAGTCACATTGCGGAGTCAAGATCGTGCTTCATTTTAGAAGATTCATGGAATTTTAGAGAAAGACATGGCAAATCTCATGATTAAGTAAACTTCAGTTATTTTACAAAGGACTCTCGAATAAATTCATTATCATGAGAAAAGGCCTAGATTGAGCTCAAAGTTGACTTTTAAAACATTTCGAAATTCGATTAATAAAGAGGCTGATGTTGTGGTAAGTCGTACTTTACTAAGAAAGCTCATAAAAAATTGTTGAGCATTACTGAGCCTTGCGAGCACTTTGTTTTAATATTCTGTAAACAGAAAAAGCGCTGCAGCATTCCCGCAGAATTCTTTTTGAAAGATTACGCAGCGCGTCTTCCATAATTTTTTTTCCAGCAACAATTGCTCTTTTGTCGTATTATGGATGACACTCACAAAAAATTGGACATACGTAAAAACACGTGTCGCAGTTCAACGATACACAAGGGGCTCCAACAGCGTTTGCAATGACAAAAATTATATTACAGCTACAACTAACTAAGTCATAGCAATTTCGTAGGAGAAACGCTTACGAAACGCTACAAAAGAAGCGTGCAAACGTTGGGGAATCAAGAAATGGGTCTTCCGTACCAAAATTAGCGTCATGCTGATAAAGAAGCCATCAAGCTCTCATTTTATTTCCCTATTATGGCCACCCGCTTGATAGCTCAAATGCCTGGTGTTTTGATGCCATGTGAAATAGTAAAAGTACACTTCGAATTGTTTTCAGTTTATGTGTGCATATTACAATGGCTCACGCACATAATCGAAGGATGGTCGCAGTCGGTTAGAAAGGCGATTTGTAAGCCTAACGTGCTCAAACACAACCTTTTATATCGCGCAAAACTGAAAACAGCTCATGTTCCGCAAGGCTTTGAAGTTCTGCCTTCACTTGCGGAAATCTCTAAAGTTTAGCGGAATCTCTAAGCAAGTGCTGTGAAATTATGAAAATAGGAAGCAGCGCTTTGCACAGAACCGCAAACTGGAGACTTTCCCTCGTGCAGCTCTTACTAACCTTCCCTTTTATACAGCTACCCCAAAAAGTTGCGGACAAGCCACCCTCCTTTCTGCGTCGCTCATTTTCAAAAGGAAAACAAGGATGAAAAAATCATCAGATTGCATTAGATGATAGAGCTCTTTGACAACTACAACCGTGCTTACGCTTCTTGCAGAACATGGATTGATGATAGAGCTCTTTGACAACTACAAAGTGCTTACGCTTCTTGCAGAACATGGATTCTAAAAGGCTAAAAATGTTTTTCCAAAAAAGTCAGATGGTCGCGTTACAAAGTCGCAGAAGAAAATTCTTCGAATGCGAAACTTTCCTTTCGGGTTCATTTTGAAGGAAAAGCACAAGTAATTAGAACAATCAAGCATACTATCAAAGAGGGCTCATCAAGGGCTAAACCTGGTTACGGCTACCTCCCAAAAAAGCAAAGCTAGGATTTTATTTGGCATTTTTTTTAAAAATCAACTTCTACTTGTACCGCTTTACAAGCTAGTAGCTCGGCAGGCAGTCAATCTACAAGCGTGTGTATAAACTCATCCGAAAGAGCGTGACTTCTTCGATACTACGAAGCTATGCAAATGAGCTGACTTTGAGAAATCGCTTTTGGGAATTTTAAGGGAGTGAAAAGTGCAGCTTTAGTGGAAGTTAAAAAACGCTCTTTTCGTTACCACTCTCATCCTGGACGTTTAGAACTGTCAATTTTCATGTGATAGATACATTTTGAAGCCCAAGACTGTACTAGTGTTGATAAGAGCCTTCACTCCAATCACCACTAATGCTATGTTTTAGGCCATTCTAAAATTTACGCGATTTCTCAAACTTAAATCATTGCACACCGTCGTATCGAGGAAGCCACGCTCTTTCGAATGAGCCTACAAGCAGGCTCGTAGGTTCCTGACGGCCGAGCAGCAAGCCTGTAAAGCGGTACAAGTCATTGGTGAGGTGCAAGTGAGATCATGTGCACGCGCTTTCAAGAGCCACTTCCAGAAAAAAATTCACTAGCGCACGTCCGATGCATGAAGCTAACAGGGGAAGGATACTTGGATGCCGTGGCCATTCATAATGATTTGTATACCAAAAAATGCGCTTTTGAATGCTGGTTCGTAGACTGTCTTTCATATCTGCGAAACGATAATCTGAATGGAGTTATTATTTTTTTTTCATTAAAAAAAATTGCGTTCCTGCGGAGGGTCAAAATCATCAATAAAAAAATTTTCTCTTTTCCAAATGCTGAGTATGATCCAGATAGTCTAAATAAATATTACTACGTCTAAAATTTTCTTCAGTAGCATCAAACGGTAGGCTAGGTCAAATCTGGTGATTTTTACTATCCAAAAGTAGGCTAAATTTTCAAGGAAAAAAGTTCATAACTTTCTTCAAAAGATCGTTTCGCAGATTTCAAGCACAGATTCAGAATCTGCAATCGAAGGCGCATTTTTTGGTATACAAATCATTAGGAATGGCCGCGGCATCCAACTATCCTTCCCTTGTAAGAAGCATCCATCCATTATATATAGAACGCTTTGTTAGGATGTTCTGCTTTAGTTCTTGGGTGAAGATATTTTGTTCGGAAGACGTGATTAGAAGTTATCTGAATGCGAAATGAATTCCTTTTTTCAATTCAGGAAAAAATCAAAAAGAAAAAAGCCTGTCAAAAGCATAGGTGCGATAGGGGGAGCAGGGTCCACTCAGTGAAGGGGTTTTGGCTATTTCTGACCTTAAAAAGCGAAGGGGTAAGTGAGCCTGAGATGAATGCTGGCGAAGCTTACATGTCTAACTGAAGCAGATGTGCAAAGAAGGAAAGCAAGTGGTACAGAGGTGTAATATAAAGATTTCCTCATTGCTTAGGCTTTGAAAGGTCATCCAACAGAGACCTTTTTGATATAGGAAAGCTTTATGTTTCATTAGTCGACATACATACCATTCGAAACTTTGGAACATACAGAATCGACGTAGACCGTCTCTTTTTTCCGGCTCTCCTGTGAATTCAAATACAAAAAATCATATCTAGCTCCAGCATCAGCCGATCTTATGCAATCACTTTGAGCTCCATTTCTGAAAGAAAGAGGAATGCTAGAAAAAAAGAGACGGTCTACATTTACTGGCGAAGTCTTGCTCTGCAAAACGGTTAAAGAACTGGGCATTTTCAATCGCACTTTGCATAAAAACTTCTTCACAAAACACACATGTTTTTAGTTGAAAGGCCATATACAATACCGCTCACATTTTTTGAAAAAAAGACGCGAATGTATGGACATGTATGTCCATACATGTACGGACATGTCCATATATGTATGGACATGTCCGTACGTGTATGGACATGTCCGTACATGTCCGTAC